GTTCAAGATAGTGGAGAATGCCTTCGATATTTCCATCTCCAATCAGACTAAGGTGATGAATATGCCATTTTAGTTTAAGATACCTTGCTAAAATGTCCTTGTTTAATTTCCTAAAATATGTGTTATATTCTTTTTCTTAAGAAAGTTGTATTTCCAGTTGGCCCTTTTGATGATAAAAGATTTTTCTGTAGCATTAAAAATGTCAGCTTTACATTTAACTTAGCTTTTAATGACAAAAAGAAGAAATAATATCACTTTTAAAGGTCTGACCTCGAATTTCTAATCTAGAGTGCAAAAATACAAGCAACGTGGTGTTTCATCTACATGTTACAAAGAAATACTAAAATCATTTTCTATTTGACCAAATAATAAGAAATAAAATCTCATTTTAAAAATATACTTTAGTTCAGTATATAAAACATTGGAGGACCCTATGAGATTATTTTCTCCATTATAACAGTTTTTGTATGCATAAGAGATTATTATTTTGCAAGTTGTAAAATCCTTTGTGACTAATTTTCATGGTGTGTTAGTGAAATATTTCTCTTTTCCAGTCTTGCTGTATATCACGTAACTTCAGCTCACCAGCACACCAAAAATAAATACATTAAAAAAATAAGAGAGTCACAGCTGTTAAGTAAAAAAAAAAAAGTGAAATAGGAAGGTTACAAAGATTATACTACTCACGGAGTCAGTTATTACTATAGCTCAAGTTAAGAACAGAGTGGCTTAATGATCAAGCATGTTGTTTCTCTTCAAAGCTTGGCAGCTCAGTGTAATCAGTATACTAATAGCTAGAGTATTTGATACAGCATGATTCTGATACTTAATGGTGGTTGTCATACACCATTTAAATTGGAGCTTTGGCATCATTTCTTGTTTATTGTCTTTAGCAAATATCATTTGGCCACCCTTGTCAAGATTTCTGGAAAATTTTCCAGAAACAACTTCTAAACTCTCCGTCTTTAATCATCCTGTCAGTTAGACACAGTTCTCCAACAGTGAAGGGCATGGCAAATTCAAAGTGAGTCACACCCTTCTATGTGTGCACTATTGCGAGAATTTGGATAGGATAGCGTTACCACAGAAATGAACACTCAAGAATCATTCCTGTCTGTAAGCTCACATGAACCCACATACACACATAATCGTACACACACACCTTCCCCACTAGAACTGTCTCCTTAGTCATCAGGGAATGTGGCCAGTCAACCTGGAAAGGCACTCTGCCATTGTTGGCCCAGAGGGAAGGTTTTCACAGGCACTGATACTCCAGTTCTATGGGAAAGGAGTCAAAATAGCAGTATAGTTAACAGTTCTGGAAGGGCTAAAGCTCATCCAGAACTGGCCTAGATTCACCCCCTACTCACTGAGGGGAAGGTGTGAGAAAGTGTAGTTTCACAGCCAGAAGGAACTTGGCCCCCATGCCTGTCCCCATCTGCTGGCAAGAGCCACGATACAGCGATCTCGTGACACATCACACACCCATGAGAACTCTTGAGTGTCCTCAGAAGCTTGTCCCTGAACCTCTTCCTTCCAAACCCTATCAGAGAGACTCTGGATTCCTGGGTCACGTGGACTGCGTGTGGGTATAACCCCCAACACTACGCTGACCTCAGTGTGGTGTTTTAGGGAGAAGCATGGCCGTGCTCCCTCAAGCACGATCTCTGAACTCATGTAGAAGCTGTAGGCCACGGCCACAGTCCTGGAGGCCTTCAGTTCTTCATGGGGGCCTTGTGGGAAAAGTGGCGGCATCCTCAAGGAGGTGATTGGTGACTCCCCGCGGGTGGGAGTACGTGACTGAAGTATTTCTTGTAACACCTTTAATTCCTTCCTTCCTCTCTTTTCTCAGTAGAAGAGGAAATACCATGCGATAGATGGAGGCTACTTGTTTCTTTTAGAAAATGTTCCTAAGGTGGCCTTTTTTGCTGTTTAGGAGATACACATTGGTGTATGTTATTTTATTCTAGAGAAATAACTACCGTGTTAGCATCGCCATCTTAGAGGTATTCTTGAGAAATACATCTAATTGATAAATGTTTGCCGGCTGGCTCCGACTGTGACTCAGCTGTGTGGTGTGTAACTAGCATGCAGGTGTCGTGTAGTAGAATCCCATCATAAGCGAGTTTCAGGGGAAGGAGGAAATTCTTTTTGACTCCGTGGATCGTGGAAGGTTCTATGGAGTTTGATATATTTGAGTTGGGCTAGAAGATATCACAGGAGAGGAGTAGAACATACATAAAGATAGGAAAGCCTGGGTGTTTGTAGCAAATTTCAGTTGGCCTTTTTAACCCAAACCATAGAACGTAGAGCAGGAACAGTGTGGTGGGGGTAGGCAGGGAGCAGAGATAGGTTATCATGTCCCTGAACTCTCTGGCAGTGTATTTTTTCCAGATCAGTTGGGTTTTGTAACTCATTTCTTGGGGACCTTCTAAATGTAAAAACTTAATTATTATCCTCTTACTTCACTTTATTTTTTTTTTAAGATTTTTAAAATTTTTATTTATTTGACAGAGAGAAAGTGAGAGAAAGAACGCAAGCAGGGGAAGGGGGAGAGGGAGAGGCAGGCTTCCCACTGAGCAGAAAGCCCGACGCAGGGCTCGATCCCAGGATCCTGGCATCATGATCTGAGCTGAAGGCAGATGCTTAATGACTGAACCACCCAGGCGCTCCAACTCTTACTTCACTTTAAATGTCCACCTAGAGTTGCCTGCCTTTTTGATATTTTAGGGCTGGAGAAGACGTAATTATGGGAGACAGTTTTGGTCACTTTTTTTTTTTTTTTTTTCCCCCAAAGAAAACGTGTATGTAAGGATACCTGGTTCTATGACTTGAGTAGTTCTCATTCTTAAATGATTGTGAAGTACTTGGGTGTCTCTGCAAACCCTAGCCTGCCATTCAGGGCCCTCCATAATGTAATAATAGACTAATAGGATCCAAAATACCAATAATTGTATCTTAATTGAGTGGACAAGGTGGATTAGGGTTTTATGGACACAGACTTGGTGCTTCAACTGTTGGTATTACAATTCTACTCCAACATTCGTGTTTTCTGCCAGCTTATTGTTTTCCACCTCCTAGGAGGAAACAGACGGGTGAGACCAGGCCAGCAGGTAGAATGAGCACAGTGGGATCTAGGTTAGTGATGGAACCCAAAGCAACAGGGCATGGAATGTGATCCCCGAGTTAGAAGATACACCATTGATTTAATACTGGCTTGTGAAAGAAAAGAAAAAGGCACACGACCACCTGAAAGTGCCCCATCCATTGTAAGAAACAGCTAATTTTTCAGTGTTAGAAATGAAAATAAATTGTCACAGAATCAAAGAAAAAGGGAAGTTAGATTTGCATCTTAGGGGAGAGGCAGAGGTGAGAGACTAGATTGTTATCAGACCAAGATATATGCCCCCAAAATGGAAAGTCAGCAAAGCAAGCCCAGGGGCCGGGCTGAATGGGAGGGAAACAGGTGTTGAGGGGTCTGGGAATGGACTGGGATTGGGACGTCCTTCAGGGATAGGGTTGAGCACGTAACCCCCAGGAAGGGAAGTTAAAGGACATTAGGAGCACGGTCCCTCTTCTACCAGGATTGCCAGAGGGCATCCCTGGAAGCAATTGTCGGTCTTTGGCTGGAGGGAATACTCCTGAGGCCCTTCCCTGAGGGCTCAGGTGAGGACAGCAGAGTCTCACACATGGGTGTGAGGCCCTCTGCCATGTCTCCACAGATTTAAGAGGTGCTTGTGCACTTTGGGGAACAAAGCCATGGTTTTACATGATCCCACGCTTCCTTATGTGGTCTTGGATGAGTATCACTTCTTTGTTACTCTTGCACTACATTCCACAGGTTACTGAGAAGAAAGTGTAACTCTTTCTAGTCTGATTTTTAGACTAGATTTCTAGTCTAATTAGATTTCTAATCTAGTCTATTAGATTTCTAGTCTAATTTTATTCTGATTCTAAAGCCATGTTATTCCTATTGAACTTCGAGAGAAATCACCTTAATTCCATTCATGGTATATCCATGCTTTATGTTGGGGTGGGGATAAAAGCAATTCAAGATCATGTACATTACAAAAAAAAAAAATGATATTGTGAGCACAAAAAAATAGTGGGTACTAAAAGACTTCTGTCTTACTTATCTCCCAGGTAAGTAGACCTAGCCCAATGCTTGGTTCTCAGTCAATACTTGGTAAATTTCAGTTTAATGAAACAGAGTTTTATAGTATTATTCACTTTAAGCAGAATTTGTGCATGCTCTTTGTCCTGAGGTCTGTTCATGACATATAGTTGTAAATAATAAATTACTATATATTGTAGTAGAATGATTAGGAATTAATTAAACCTGGTATTTCAAATGCCCTAGATGATATTTTGATATTGCAGTCCTCAAAGTCTTTCATGGACATCTCACCAAATACCTCAACAGTTCTTAACATCTATAGGCACAAGATTTGGAATTGGTCATCTGAAGTTCAAAGTGTGTGGTCACAGTGTAATCCTCACAGCCAAGCCAGAAGCAGACATGCTACAGATGGATAGAAAAGCATGTTATGTTTTTTTCAAGGACGCTCAGGAACAAAAATTTCTGTGAGATTTGGTCAGTGCATGGGAAGATTTTTTTTTTAATGCATACATTGCAGTAGCACACAAAGTAACTTCTTTCTGATTCAATTTCATAAATTGCTACATGAAGAAGCACTCTCTAGTAGATAATACTCAGAAATCAGCACTTAATATGGCAGTAATGGTTATTGCTGTCATTCTTTACATCTTTAAAAATAATTAAGCATTACTGCATAGACATTATAAAGTTCCCCTATCACCATTAAGAGGATATTTGAGGTTTGATGTGATTTAGCAAATTGCATTATACAGTAGTTAAGGTTTTTATGTAGTGAAGTGAAATGCGTAGCAGTTAAGCACACTTCCCATATAATGCCTTGTACGGACCTACATGTCCCAGCTGCTGCCAGCTTTGTTCCAGTGTCATCATTGCTTTGCAGGCTGACGTTCCTGAGGGAGTGATTCGAGTGCAAGCTCCCCATCTTTCGAAAGTTTCCATGGCAATACAGCTAACAGAAGAACTGAAAGCCAGTGATGTACTTGCCAGGTTTCTCAGCCAAGAAAGGTAGAGGCCTGTTTTGTTTTAATCATTGTATAGTATAACTCACATGCACGGTCTCCCTTCCTCCTCTAACGCACACATGCACATGCACACGCGCGTGCACACACACACACAACTAGGGGTGATGAGAGGTGCTTCACCGTTTTGTCTTCCCCACAGAAAAGAAGAACAGACTTAGTAATTAGACAGTTGGAACGAGCTGGGTTCATGTGAGGTAGTTGGTGGGCAAGTTGAGCCTGTTGGGCGCAGGCTGTCTGAGCTTGCCTTCCCTGTGCCTGCAATGGGCTCGGCACACGAGAGCACTCGATATTCTTTCCAGAATGTGTGGACTGGAGGTTAAGTACTCTGTGGGGACTGTTAGGCAAATCACTAAATACGATACAGTGGGATTAAAACAAACAAAATACAACTTTTTCTGAAATATAATGAATAGAAAGAGATGCTGAAATTGAAAAGCAAGGTCTGAAGAATTGAGAGAGGACAGGCAGTCCCTGGAGCTTTGAGGTCTTCTGGACACAGAGCGCACGGTCCCTGTTAGGGACAACCGAGCCTTCTCGTCTGTTCTGGTGCTGCTGGGGTAGGAGGAGTCTTCTGGTAGCCTTTGGCATCCCTCTGATGATATTAGAGCATACGCTTTCTTTGACATCTTACAATAGCTTTTCTTAAATTTTAGAGATTTAACAAGTATATTGGTTTTTCAGTTTTTATCCTTCTAATTCTTATTTTTTAATTTTTTTTATCATGTTATGTTAGTCTCCATACAGTGCATATTGCATGGAGCACTGAGTGTTATGCTACATCGGAAACTAGTAATTCTTATTTTTTTAAACTGAAGTTATTATTTTAATGATTTCTTCCCTCATTTCTGCTCATTGAAAATTAATCTAAACTTTTCAAAAGGGATATCTGGGGCACTGGCCTCTTAGCTTATGAATTCTCCATCTTAGTCTTCAATAGAATGTCATGTCTGCATTGTAACGTTCAAGGGCATCAGTGAAGTTTTCTGCCAAAACCTCTCCAGTGTGAATACAGTACCACGAGTATTTAATATGCCTCTGCTCTGTTTAAGGCCCTCTGCTCGATGTCAGAAGGGGTATAAAGATGTATTTTAAAGTCTCTTCCCTCAGGGTTTATAAATTGGGAGAAGAGATGAGCCTGAGCAGTAACAGATGGTGGGGAAATAGAAGAGAAGCTTATTGGTCGTATCTGTGCTTTCGGTAAGCCTGCACTCCCCTCTCAACAGTACTGCGAAGTAAGCACTAGTACTACTCCTGTTTTACGGAGAAGAAAACCGAGACTTTGCAGGGTCATGCATTTGATAGGTGGTGGTGCTAAATTCCAAATGTGTGGTGGTTTCCATTACCAAAGGCTGCCCTTTAAACACCCTTCTTACAAGCTAGGGTCTAACAACCGTCACAGATCTGGGGCCATTGGAGCAGAGTCTCAGAGGAGATGGAATTTTAGGAAATTAAGCCCTGAAGCAGTTATGTGTCTTTGCTCCCTAAAGGGTGTCTCTGCTTCATGAAATTAATCCACTTCCTCTCTGCTTCCTGCTGTGACCTAGTAGATACCAACTCTTGCCAATAAGCTCACCAGGGATGACTGCCCATCTTCTCCCAGATCTTCTTACCTGAAGATCGTCTGGCCAGACTTCAGATGCCTAAGCAGGTCTTTCAGCCTAGATATAGTTAATTTACACAGTATTTACTCTAAGGACCCAAGTGTTCAGTTGAGTCTACATTTGTTGCTGTCCTTGCGGATGATGGAAGAGGTGACTATGGAGTCAACTGTGACTATAATATTTAGGGTATAACATGATTGCTGTAGAAAGCACCGATTTGTGACAATTGTCCTCTGCATATTTAGATTTTCTGCTCAAGGTGCAGTTATTAAGTAAGCATTTGCTGCCCCCTGGAATGGAGTCTGTTTCTATACCTCCTCCCTTTGCCCTATCCTGCTCTACCCAGAGGGACATCTGGTAAACCTCTCTGTCCATTGCTTACCCCCCCCACCCCCAAACATTCCTCAGCTCCTTTCTCTATGATTGAGGATGCTGAAGGCAGAGGATCTGGATCCAGCTTTTCTAGATGTCAGCTTTTCCTGTTTCTTTCTTTCTTTCTTTTTTCTTTTTTTTTTTAAGATTTTATTTATTATTTATTTGACAGACAGAGATCACAAGTAGGCAGAGAGGCAGGCAGAGAGAGAGGAAGGGAAGCAGGCTCGCTTCTGAGCAGAGAGCCTGATGCGGGGCTCGATCCCAGGACTCTGGGATTGTGACCTGAGCTGAAGGCAGAGGCTTAACCCACTGAGCCACCCAGGCGCCCCAGCTTTTTCTGGTTCTTTTTAAGCTAGATTTATATTCTCTCTAAGTCTCAAGTTTTTTATTTGTAAGAGTAGACCATAACAGGACTTGCGTTATAATCTTGTGATAATGAACCAGGAAAATGACCATGAAGCACATTAGCACTATCTATTTGGGCCATATAAGTGAAGTTCTCCATAAGTGTTTATATATATGTTCTCTTCCACCACGTTCTTCCCTTCCCCCCACTTGCATTCCATCAGCCCAGGGGCAGTTGGAAACCCTCCCTCCCCCATCCTTTCCCTCCCCTACTTTCTCCACCAAAGACAAGAACACATGAATGACATAAAGTGAATATACAATAAATCTCACATTTACTCACCAGTTTTGATAAAGGCTATTGCCATTTCTTTAATTATGGATTTGTTCATTAGCATTATGCAAAGCTTGTATTTCCCAGGAAATCCAGTTTTGTGTGTGTGTGTGTGTGTGCGTGCGTGTGCGTGCGTGCGTGCATGTGTGTGTGTGTTTAAAATAGAACAAGAGCACAGATACTGGAGAAACAATCTGAGAGCAATATCTAATTCATTCCCACCCCCCACACAAGTCTTCCAAAACATTCAGCTTACTTTTCATAGAAATAATGACTCTTTTTATACTCAAAGTTTATTGCATTATGTGCTATATTACAAATAAAATAATTATTATTTAATTTTAAAAACAAGCATACACCGATTTGGAATAAAGTGAGCTGTCTCTTGGTTAGCATACAACTCGGCAGGTGGCTTTTAACTATGGGGGCGTATGCAGCCCCAAGTGTCTATCATGTTCCAGACAGCAGAGTAGTTGAGTTGGATAACCCGGATGAGTCATGGGATCGGTGGGTTAGGAGAGCTTCTACTGTGCCATATGTAATGGTTTGAATAAAAGTCAGATCTGCTTTTCCTTTCACAGTTCCAGGGAGCATGTCTTCAGGGCCTTACAGAAGTGGTTCACAAACCCTTCTGTGCATCACAGTCTACCTGGGAGCATTTGAAAAACTGATTCTTTGGCTTGATCTAGACATACAAAATCAGTTTCTAGAGCTCTGGGTCTGAATTTTTAGCAGGTTTCTCAGGTAATTTGTATACAGCATTTTGAAAACCACTGAATTTTACTGATTTTTATTATTTGAACCCAAAGTTCTAGAAGAGTTTATTCTTTGAAGATCGTAACTCTGTAAATGCATCTCTTCCTTGTGAAACCTTCAAAGTGACTATTTGCTTACTACTTTGAGTGTGTGTAACCCCTGTATTTGAATGGCCAGCACAGGAAGGGTTATGAAGCATGTCCTATTCTTTACGTTCATCTTGTATACTGGGGCAGTTGTCAGCAAACACATTATAAATACTTATTGAATAAATGCAGTGTGAAAACTGAAGTGGAAATATTTCTTTTTGTAGTTTCAGGAGGCTCTTTCTGGCCCCTATGCAAAGTAGTTGATCAAACTGATAATTTTATTGGCAGCTACAACATTATGTTACTTTTCTTTTTGATTTTACAAACTTAGATGCTGATGTATTATTTTGCCCTCAGATGTATGAGTCCATTTGTTTATTTTAATTTACGGGTGTGACATTTTTATTACCTATTTGGCACACTTAACAGATGGGAAAATACAAACGTTAGATAATTACAATGTGTCTAAGTTATGAATTTCCCATACAAGCCAGAATTCCCCAAGCACATTAAAGTGATTTACTTGCAAGCTGTTTGATGATACAACTAATCAGTTTGTTTTGTCCCTAATAGTGGGATTGCCCAGACTCTTAAGAAAGGAGAAGTTTTTTTGTATGAAATTGGAGGAAATATTGGTAAGCACATTTTGTTTCTCTCTGTGTTACATATGCTGATTTGACATTGCCAATGGTTATTATTTATATCTTTGAAGAGAAAAAAAATCAGAAGTTAAATATAGCATGCTTTAGATAGTTGATGAATTTTGTGGATTTGTTCAGTGGTCTGACTTTTCAGACTCTATTTGAGCTCCTTCATACAAATGCCCATCTGTGTTAAACCTCAGCAAGGGCAAATTGCCTTAAAATAGTAGCAGCTTCTAGAATGGTAATGAACTTCTTCAAAACTTCTTTCTTTTTTATATGCTTACATCACATCTTAATAAAGGAAGTAGCTGAGCTTATTTAAGGCTAGGATTACATTTTTATTATGGCTCAGTACTAGATATTTTTAGTGAAAGCAGAAGTTATTTTTGCCACTGTTGATTGCCTTCTAAATAATGCACACTCGCACACACAAAGACCAACACAGATACACACACATACGAATACAAGCACATTGGTAATTTAGGGAATAGAAATAGAATGAATGGATTGATTCTTACCATGCCTTGTATTTTAGATGCCCATTTCCAGTTACCAGTCTGTTGTACTCACCTCTATTAAAATTTAAAGTAATATTTTCTCTTTATTTTGGGCCTCGAAAATGGTACAGGTGAAACAAATAAATGAAATAGTGTTTAATTTAAAATAATAATTGAAAATATTTTAAGATTTTAAGTTTTGTGGAGTTGTTTCCTGGGACACAAAAGTGTTAGTAAATACTGAAACTTGAACACGGGCATATGAAGGCTTACTCTTAAACTGCTGGTGAGTGCTGTGAAGTGTGTAAACCTGGCGATTCACAGACCTGCACCCCTGGGGCTAATAATACATTATATGTTAATAAAAAAAATAAACTGCAACTCTGTTAGAAGCCTGCATGGAAATGTCAACTCTGTTAGCAAAGTTTATTTAAATATATATATATATATATATATATATATATATATATATATATATATATTTGATCTTGCATTTTACTCTTAGATATTGGGAATGAAGTATTGTTTCTTACTTAGATAGACCCCAGACTGTTGCTGCTCTTAATAAAGGTGCATAAGTGTTTAATGAGCCATTGCAGAGCCCTTCACACAAAGTATTTTCAACTTCCTAAATTAATTCGAAACCCATTCCTTTAGAGAAGGCCTACGAAACTGACTTTTGCAGTATTTTGGCCAAGTCTTATAATGTTCTGGGAGATGGGAAAGGATGAGACCTATTTTGAAGTCTAGGATTTCAGAGTTAAGCCATGAGGAGTAAGTTTAATATTGCATCCGAGCCTCTGCACCGTTTCTGCCTCATCCAGTGTCTCTTTGATAGGAGAACGCTGCCTTGACGACGACACTTACATGAAGGACTTGTATCAGCTCAACCCCAATGCTGGGTGGGTCATCAAGTCTAAGCCGTCGTAGGAGACTGAAGCTGCAGAGAACCCTGAGGACCTCCCGAGGCTCCTTGCTGGAGCAAGAGAGCAAATAAAAGAAACGGCAGGACTCTTCTATTGTTCACATGTACACAACTTATGAATAGTCACACTCTGAAGCCTTAAAAAGTTACAGATTTGTGCTGCTGCCGGAATTATGTTCATTAATAATACGATGAGCAAACAAAAGATCTCTAGAGTCAGAGGAAAAGGGGTTAATTAGCTTGGCAGCTCTTAGACTCTGTAAAAGGTGCCCGGATGTGACAGTTTGTTTTATGTGAAAATATACTCTCTTCCTCTCACTTTTTTTTTCCCTAAAATCATATACATGGTAATACGTGCTTCCTCTCCGTTTTCTCTTCCTCATATCTGCCTTTCCCCAACTAGATTTGCTTTTTAACCGAAAAGATCACAAATACCAGGTATTTGGCAAGTCGTGAAGACAATGCATCTTAAAATAGACTGAATTCAACAGTATTCCTGTCACCATCGAATATTAATATTCCTCCCTTTGAATCATTTGTTCAAACAATAACATCCCACTTCTCCCGCTGTATCACATGAAGTGATTTGCATTGTTTTCAGTTCATCTGACATATGTGTGCAGAACCGTATCTGCGATTAAGCAAATAAAACTGTCAGAAACCACCCATTATTACTGAACTCTTAAATACTTATATATTAAGAATAAATAAAATATATCCATGTGGAATAACTGGATTATGGGTAACAAAAGAGTGAAAGCCAAATCACTTCATGTATGCTGTATTCTCCTAAGTGAAATTTATGAAGACTTAGCTGGCTTTACCTATGGTCATATTAGTATAAATATGCATGATAGTATAATCCGGTAATGATTAAGAATGCATTCTACTAAAAGAGGGATTATTTTTTCTTTTTAATTCCTAAAGAAGGCTGCAGGAAGCATTATTTTTTTCTGGGTATGACACAGTCATATGAACAAGTTTTTGTTTGTGTACTTTAGATAATCAGAGTAAATTTATTAAAATGCTGTGGAAAGTACTATTCCCAGGGAGTTTAATGCACAAACCTTATTGTGACAAGAGATGAGCCTCTGAACCGTAAATAAGAGAAAAGAAGTGAGAAATGTTCAATATTTTATGAGTTTAGCGTGTAGTAAATAAAAGGTGATGTAAATGAGTGTTGCACACACTGTGTTTATGATACTTTTAGTAGTATTTTAGGGAAAATTACACATTCTCGGAAGCTCTTGATGTCATTCCAGTTAGGAGGGAAAATACTGTTAATGAGAACAGTCGTAAATTTTTAGCCTGTAATTATAGGAGCAGCCTGTGGATATGATCACTTAAATAACATTGTTGTGATTTGTGCCATTGCTTTTTTTATTTAAAAAATTTTTATAATTAAATGCATTTTTCTAAAGTATCTTCTCTTGGAATTATTACTTTTAATCCTCTATGTTTATGAATGTACTACATTTTTGTTTGTATTTGTGTTTTTGTTAAAAGCCACTTCTTTTATTGTTCCTGTTGCTCCTGTGTAATGTTTAAATTGGGAAGACATGTGCAAGATAAAAAACTGTTTCCCTCCTTAGTTTTTTCCTTAGGCAAACTTATGTTCTTTAGGATTTTTCAAAAACACATTATCTTCTGTTTCTGATTTTGACAATATATGTTAATTTCCTAAAATGTTTTAGTAATAGTTTAAGTTAATGAAAGCAATTAATGATATAAACTTGAAATTGACTGCTTAATACATTGTTGCACAACTTCAAAAAAAGATGAGTGAATATAATGATTTAGATAAATGGCTTTCTAAAGCATATGTCAACTAACTTTTTACCGAACATTTACTATTCCCCCAGTATGTGTGTTGGTGGTGGCAGTGGTGTGGTGGGGGCAGACACGAGGCTTTTGATGATGAAAAGAATGCCAGATCTTGGTAAATAAATACAAAGATGCCATTGCATTTTGAGTCCCTAGACCTCATGACCCATAATCCTTGATCTTGAACAATATTGCTTTTACACAATCAAGAAAGAGGTCTCTCTACACTTCTAAAGAGGAGAAACTTATTAGCGTAGAGCCTCAAATATAAATGGCCTGGAATTAACCCAAATGTTTTTTCTGTATTTTTTTTTTTTCTTAATGAACTTTAAATCTTGTGGTGGATTAACTTTTGTTTATATGTGAGGGACCATAAAAGCAACAAATATATTTGTTAAGAGTTTCAGACATCTTAATTCTTAAGAGAGTTACTGTTGAAAAGTTGAAGAGCTCGTTTATGATAGAAGACGTGTTGCCCTGTTAATATCTCAAAGATGTTTCCTCTTTTCTGAAATGGGTTATAATTATTTGCAATCTTTATTCACTATAGAGTTCAACATAGACTCCCTGCTAGCACTCTTTGGGAAAAGCAATTTATTTTACTGACTTCATGAACTTTTTTCATTATTTTCTTTTCCTAATTTTTGTTAAACTGGATTTCATTTTCTCTCTCATACTGATTGCTCATCCTCTTGATCGGTAGGTGGCAGTATTAGTCAGGGATTCCTTTGCGTCTAAACTATGGGAAGTTTAAAAGTGAACCTGAGTTCAGAGGTAAGTGGTTGAGACTCAGTGCCAGGCATTTAAAGGCAGGTCGGTAAGAACACCACGGATCTCTCACTTTAATCACTGTTTTTGGAAAATTGTAAGTAATAATTAATTTCAGAGTTTCTTTGTTTCATTTATTAGTCTGCTTCTATTCTTAACCTGTGAATGGGGAGGGAGAGAGGTGAGGGGTTTTTTTTGAACCAAAGATGAGACATTTTGATAATGTCTATCTCAAGCAGAAGGATCAAGACAAGAGGAAAGACAGTGAACCAGGAAAGAAAAAAAGACTGTCTAAGAAGGCATAATGACATCTGTCGTTAGTGTGTATGTGGTTGTTTCTTCATTCAACAAGCATTTGCTGGCCATTTACAGATATGTGCCAGGTATGTTCTACCCTTGAGATACATCAGTGAACAAAATAATAAGTAAAAATGAATTAATAGGTAGAATTATCTAATATGTTGGAAGGATATAAGTGGAGTAGATACAGACAAGAGATGAACAGATGAAAACAAACTGGTTTGAGATGCAGAGAGATTCCAAGTGGAGGGAAAGGTTCCCTGTTGGAGTAAACAGTCTCTCATTGAACCTCTAATAAAGTCTTGAAGGAAGTGAGAAAATTGTCATGTGGCGATCTGGGAGAAGAGCATTCCAGACAGAGGGAATAACCAGAACAAAGGCCCCAAAGCAGTCATCTGCTTGGCTTACCGAAGGTTAGCAAGGGTACCAGTAGGGCTGGAGTGGAGCGAAGCAGGGAAGATTAATGGATGAGATCAGAGAGGTAACACTGGGATAGGGATGGGTGATGAGATCAAGGCCTTGTACTAGGACAACTATAATTCATTGTTTAAGACATTGTTGAGAATGAAACCGGGCACCATTGGTAAGGGTAGTAGCTATGGAGTGATAAGGAGTGGTCAGATTCTGGATATAGTTTTAAAGGTTGAGTCCGTAGGGTTTCTGGTATGAGAGAAAGAAAATGCATTGTTAATCAAGACAAATCACATTTTTTACTTGAGCAATTGGAAGTATGGAGCTTCCAACAACAGAAATAGGGAAGATGAAGGCAAATTGGGTATTCTGAGGGAGTCAGGATTCAGGAGTTCCATGGTGGGTGTGTTGAATTTGAGGTGCCAATTGGGCATCCAAGTGGCAATGTTGAATAAGCAGTTATTTGTGCAGATGGTAGGAAAGTGGTCTGGGCTGGGGTCAGTGGCATCTACATGGACTTTTAACTTTAACCATGAGCCTGCCTGAGATCACCAAGGGAGAGAATGTGGATATAGTAGTGAAAATCACCAAGAGGTGAGCCTTGGAGATGTCCGATGTTAGAGGTTAGGAAGAGGAGAAGGAACCAGCAAAGACACTGAAAAGAAACGACCTTTGAGATAAATGAAGAGATTGTGAGGTTCCAGTGACCAAGAGAAGAAAGGCAACCAAACAGAGGAGAGAAATTGTCACGTCAGATCCTACTTACAACTGACCTGAGCAGATGGCTGGGAATTGATGCCCTGGATTTACTCTGTGGAGGTCATTGCCAACTTTATGAGCAGTTTCAGTAAAGTGATAGGGTGGAAGACAGATTATAGCCAGGTTGAGAGAGAAGGAGAGAGAAATCCCAAGTGTGAGTATTGGACAAATCTTAAAATTCTGTGATGCAAGGGAGCAAACAAATGAGACATTAGCTAGCAGAGGAAGTAGGAGGTGTACTGAGGGCCTTGAATGCTGGGCTAAATAGTTTTTGGAATTTATGCAATTATATAATACATTAAGAGGTGACATGGGTACTGGAGCCAGACCACCTGGGTTAGCTAATGTGACCTAAGATAAGTCACTTAGGTCTCATTTTCTACTTTGTATAATGAGAATAATAGGAGTATTTACTTCTTGGCAGCTTACAGAATCAATTCATAAAAAGGGCCCAGTGGGCTCAGCAGCATATCTGCCTGATGGTATTCAATAAACTTGACTAGTTTTATTAGGAGTGTAGCAATCAGTATTATCAGATACAATATAATTTGCTATCTCATTTGGGGATGTTGGCTTCAAAGCCATATTACTTTTCCACCTAGAAATCACTGGCTGTAATACTTTGTCAGGGTATCTGTGATACTGTAAAGGGCAAAGAAATAATTCCATAATAAGTTTTCTCTAGTTCAAGGTGAAAGCAATTTTAAACAGGACTTGTTTCATTTAAAGTAACCTGGTGTGGGAAACAGAATTCTCTCTGCATCTCAGACCAGGAAGTCCAAGAGGAAAACAAACTGGTTTGAGATGCAGAGAGAATCCTGTCCCCTTAGGCCAGGTCCCAGAAGAAAACACATTCTTACCCAGTTTCTTTTCTTACCTGATACCTTGCTTGCCAAAAGGATAATCCTGGGCCTCTGCAGTTGGTGTTAGCTGCTCCTGCTGACAGAGGTCCCACTCCACTGTCTTGCTTTTTCTGGGTTTGTGATTTCTCAAATTTTATTTTTAATAAATCTAGCAATAGTAATTTTCCTTCCATTTCACTTGGCCTGACATCTTAGAATCTGGACTTGGCATCCAGCTTCTTTTTCACTTCTAACCTGAAGCATTACATGAGGTAACTTGTCTCTGATACAAAGGGTATTATATAAAACATTAGAATTCCCCTCCCTCCATGTATCTATTTGTTAAACTCCTTAAGATTTCTGAGAAGGGTTTCATGAGCTATTTTCACACATAGCTGCGTATGGTAATGAGAAAAACAGACTGGTTGCCAGAAAAGCCATTTCTCTGGTATTTCCAGCGAAAGCCAGTACTCACTGACTTTGTCAAAAGCAGTTTTTTATCTTGAGATTTCAAGTTTTGATTTCTCAACCAAAGGAACTCCGATAAGCTTCAGAGAAAGCAGTCTACTCTCCACTGTCTTTACTCTTTTGATGTTCACCCCTTGTTGCATGTGAACATCTCTGTTCTTGTGGCATCTCTGATAGCTTTTACAAAATGGTGACTTCCGTGTAATCTCTACCTTAAGTCCCATTCCTCTTCAGCCAGGGCCAAAGTGAACAAAGAACTTAACCCTGCACTGAAGGGCATAAGGACAGTCGCAGAGAGTGGCCCAGTTCTGAACAGATCAGTTAACGTTTTCTATCCTTCACCTGACAGTAGTCTTTCACAAAAAGGAAGTGATTTAATCATTGCACGTGTCTTTAAAACTCTCATTTCAATATGAGAACTCTTAGGGCATCTTAGCTTTGGTTGCTTGTATCACCCAGTTTATATTAGGCAAGAGAAAATTCTGAGAATAGGAAGAATTAACTATTGAGAGATTATACATCACCTTTTGTCCATGAACCTGGAAACACATTCCAGGACATGCCTCTTTCATCTTCAAGCTTGTCTTCAGGTTAAAAATGGGGAAGGGATTAACATTCTTTATTCTTAAATTATGAGGCATTATTAGATAATGCCTTAAAATATACTGTGAGTTCCTTAGAAAATGTTATTATAAGGAATATTTCAAAGGTTCAGGAAAAAAAAAATGGTTCTCCATTGGTTCCCCATTTCCTCCTTTTCTTTCCAAACGTATCAGTGCTTGCTATCTGCTACACTGTGGTTTATATTTCAGTGATGTAAAAATCAATCATCTGATGCATGACCACAGAACACCAGAT